TTCAATTATATTATTATTATAGACTTCAGATAGATTATATATATGCAACTTAGATTGTATTATGTATTCATGGCCACCTGTGGGCTCTCTCTCTCTCTCTTTGTGTCTGTGTATTGAATAAGTAGGTAGGTATTTGAGTCCCCGTTTCGATATAAAGGTTATTAGCAATAAATTTATTCATGAGTGAAAGTAATTATAAGTCTTTATATTTCTCAAAGTATGGAGTCACCCATAAGTAAACAAAATAATAATAATGGCTACTCATTGATTTGCCTGTGAATTTTTTTATTCCTTTTTATGTGAATGGGATATAGCTTTCCATCTTAGTTAGTAAATTTTATATTTAAAAAAAATAAATTAATATTTTTAATTATTTAGGATCGATTATATAAATAATTTTCATATATTTATATCATTATGTATGATTGGAACTCGTTTCATCCTAATGTGTCATCTAATAGAGTAGCAAAATCAATAATAACACCTAATAAAATATGAAAATTTGGCATCAATTTCTTTTTTTATTTTTTATTTACTTTATTCTTATCTTAAAGCCTATATATTAAATTACATAAGTTCATACTTCAAAGACTCTTAAGTGAGATTTGTTTTAAATTTGTGATTTGTTATATTTGACTTCAGACAATATGATAAATGCCCTTTATATGAATTTGTGGGCTCCACTTATGAACACACCCCCTATGCTACAAAAAAAAAAAAAAAAAAAACTGTGGCCTAAACAACATTCCCATATCAATACTATTGATTTTTTTTTATTACTTTTTATCGTGATTCAAGAAGAAAATAAATTTTATAGTAAGTATGATTTAGTGATACCTTAAACAAGTTAGAATTTAGTTGTTGGATCTAAATATATAATTTGCACAATGATTTCAACTTTTTTTGTTTAAACATATGATATCGATACAATTACTGTTTGTAGTCTATATTTTAACATCAGCATTACCAAATATTACTCAATCAAAATTGACATACTTATTCCATCTCAAATATTTCTTCGTTCGTATGTATAAACACCCGTAATGTAATACAAAAAATTTAAAAATATAATAAATATTGTATTTGAGAATACAAGATACATAAAAACAATTAATAATATATTTTAAACATCTCCTCTCACGAGTAAATCGATTAGGCTTGATGTATGAATGAAACCTAAGTGTATGCATATGGTATAAGTTAATAATTCATGTAAGTTAGAACCACCTTGTAACCATCATTAATATATTATCATAATAAATTAAGTTTGATGTCATTGCACACCTAGAAACAGGCATGAACTTTGCCATCTTACTACAAATTGGCACCTTAAATACGCACATAATGCATACAGTCCTCGATTCGTAGATTGCCATTTAGATCTCCAATGCTTGGTGCTTCGACTAAAACAAGATTGACGACTAAATTAATCGTCCAAAGCACGTTAGATTTAGATCCGTAATCCACCATAACCTAACGTCGACAGCAACATAATATATATGCTATACCTACCCATGCAACCTAATGAAAATTAGCCAAATTGCATTAAATTAAGCTAACCACCAGCCCACATCACAAAAGGCCATGAAACCTTTGCGCTGGCGAAGAAAAAGGAAGAGAGAGGTTTGCATGCAGCAGTGACTTGTCACTGTCCCTCCACCGTAGCCCAGCGGCAGATAAGAGGAGGAGGTGAGGCATGCAGCCGAGGGAATGCTTCACGTGTATCAGTAGGAAGGAGAAATGGATCTTTCTGTGCATGGTTAAACATCCTTTTCCGTGGAAAGCTTGCGTATCCGTCCAAAGTCGACCGTCTTCCATGTTTACCGATGTGTATGATCACTGCTTCCGATGCTGCAGCTTGGGATTAATCAAGGTGGAACAGTTGTGTGGATGACATCGCCATGTCAGATCTAGCTGGCTAATTCACCAAGATTTATTTCTCTGTCAAGGTAGGTGCTCCTGCAGCTAAAGTAGATCTGGGATTAAGATCTACCTGTGCACCACAGTGGCCTCCACATGGTGTGTAATTCTAGCTTCTACTTCTACCCCCTCTCCTGTCATCATCATCATCATCTTCTTCTTCTTCTTTTCTTTAGCTGATCTCACACATGACTTGGTTCTCCTTAGAGTTTGAAGAAAAGTAAGAAAGACATGATATATCTTCAAAGTCTGGCACAGTCACATGAGCAGCAACAGCTAAAGAAAATACAACCACTTGTGAAAAGAGAATACCTAAGATCTGATCCATGGATAAGATCTACATGAAGGGTTCACTGAGGCAAGAAATCATACTTTGCTCCAGAGAGAGAGAGGGGGAGAAGTAAGGGGGACGACAGCGTGAGTTGGGTCGGGAGGACACATCCAATGGTGGACACTGTGCAGCTTCTGACGTCTGAGCTGCTCCGTGAATGATTGCGAGACTTTTTCCGTGCAGTTGCAGTAACATGGTGGGACCCGCGGTGGTCACCATCTTTAGCTACAGTTTTAACCAGCGGGGTTGGGTTGACCCACCGTCGATGATATCTACACCCATCACCTTCACAGTCCCACGAAGCCCCTGAGCCATTCATCGACCGCCATTAATCGATAGCTTAAGGTTGAAGCCTGCGGTGCAGATCTTGATGCCCTCCTTGGAGGGAGGAGTAAAGCAACAAAACCCTAGGGGAAGGAGAAACAAGATTTTCCAAGTTGATGGGATTTGCAAGAGCTAAAACCATGGAAACGGAGGGTGAGATGTCCTTTTGTGTTATTTACTTAAGGAGAAGAACTACCGAATAATCACGAAGAAGTATTTGATGAGATGTCCTTTTTGTGTTATTTACTTGGTAATTAAATTACAAAGTAAGTAGATTTAAGCCACACAGGGATGCATCATGACGACGAGTTCACGGGCACAGACATTATGATGTGGCCATGATGCATTCCTATTGGTCGAGTGAGAGGAAAACTACGTTATCCTCTTCTTCGTTTGCTTGTTAACTACTCCCCCATGGGCAAGATGATCCTTCTTTATGTGACGGTGGAGCCCATGGCCACACCGTCTGTCTATGTCTATGGGGTTGAGATGGAAATGGATAAGATCAACACAGCTACTGACTCATTACGGCTCCCCCCAATAAAGAATTAGAGGTGTGAGGACAAATTCTTAGGGAAACGTTTTCCCGATAGTATCTTTTATTTTTATTATTTTCTAAAAACAATCTCACCTTTTATATTGAATAATTTATATGATGATTCGATTCACCGTCAAAATTCATGGTTATTTTTTTTTTAAAAAAATATAATTATATTTTAAATTACTGTGTAATTTTTCAATTCGTGGCTTAATTCGCGCCTTTCTCAACCGGTGGATTCGCATCGCAAACTCCAAAAATGGGTCGATAAATAGAAGAGTTATTATTTTAAGCCAATCGAGAAATCTCGGTCCACCTACGCGCGGGTCCCACCCGACCCCACCGGTCCAATGTCATCCGCCTACACTTGCTTGCTTATCCATCTCTAATAGTTTATTCGCTCGATGCCGGCGCGGTTTAGTTACCTAATCCCCGGTGGGGCCCACTCGGTTTATCCGATCGACGGAGCCCGTGAAAGTCTAATTACCCCCCGCCAGCGTCGGTGCCACGTGTCGCCCTAACGTGCTCGCGGTGCCTTGTATTCGGGACGTCCGTTGCGTCACGTGCTTCGTCCGTGGCCGTCCACCTAACCCCCTCGTCTTTTTCCCCTCCCCCCCACCTTTTTCTTTTGCTCGCATAAACTAAAATGATATTAGTCCCCATAAATCCTACAAGGGAACGTGCGCGTGCATAGTTTCTAATGTCATATTTGCCCCTTTCACATTCAATGCGTGTGCCAAATCGAGTCGAAGATATTTAAAATGTTACAATAGCTTAATACTCAAATTACTTACATCGGACGGATATAAGTGTAATTTTGCCTACAAGAAACGCGGGACCTGGAGCACGTGCCCCGGGTACGTGGGGCGTCCTCGGATCCGACAACGGTTGGGGCCCACTCCCTGATGGTCCACTCCTCGCCTGAATTGGCGCCAGCTCAGCGTCCGGGTCAGAATCATTGGTCCCTCCGTCCCTTTTTGCCTTGTACCGACAACCAACATGGGTTGGATAAGGGTCGGACGCACCCGCGAGTCCACCACGGGTGGATCCGATAAGTTCCGGCGAGAAAACCCACACGGGTGTGCTGATCGGACTGGTCGCAGGGGTCCGAAACGGATTCGATAAAAGATCCGAGTAGGAAAAGAAAATGTTTTTTTTTTTTGGCGGGGTGGAAGCGATGTCGGTCGGCGGTACTTGTGTTGTGAGGGTCGCAGGTCTTCATGGATGTATTTTTGTACCCAAAAATAACGTCACTCGACATGGATTGATGATGCAAAAAATGATATAAATATTTTATTTAGTGTGCAAAAAAATGAAAATTTAGAAAAGAAATTACTATACGAAAAAAATCTAAATTTTCAGAACAAGAATTAGAAAACTGTAGATATGAATCAGCCTGGAAACTGACACGGGTTATGTCACCCGCACATCCCGCTTGGTTGGTTCCCTCCCACACGTCAGGTATCATGTCACGCTTATAGTATTCTCTCCTCCTTTTCATCACTAAATATATACGCATACTTTTGAAGTGTTCGTTCGTAACAACATAAAGTCAACAAAGGGAAAAACATGGCACCAGCTGAGCTCTGAGCTCTGAGCTCTGAGCTCATCGTACAAGTGGATAATTACTTGGATTAATGCTCACTGTGCATATGTTGTTTGCAACCGAGGATGATCAACTTTCGATTACGTTCGATTGATTCCAGTTTTTTTTCTGCCAAAAAGTTGAGATTTTTTAGTAGTTGCCAAGAACAGAGAGTTAATACGGTGGCAGTATTTTGGAGGAGGAGGAAGAAGAAGCCATCGGGAGGGAGGAGGTAAAACCGGGAATGGGGAGGTGGTTTTGGGGTGAAGGAATCGAGAAGAGGGAGGAGACACCAACCAATTCCTCCGTTAAAGAAAGCTAAAGGTGGGGCCTTTTGAGAGTATAAAATGGGCTGCAGAGGGCCGCTCTTCTCACCAATCCATCCCGACTCCGTTCACTCCGTTTTCTTGATCTCCACTTTGGTGCGTTGCGTTTCTTTTCTTTTCTTTTCTTCCTCTTTTAGTCTTCCCCCCCTTCTTCTTTCTTTTCTTTGTTTTTGAGCTCTCGGGAGCTCAGTGGCTGTTTCTTTTAGCTCGAAACTCTGTCCTCGCACCATCTCCGGAGATCAGATCTGTGAGTGTTGCGGATTGCAGCCGAGTTGCTGCAGGATTTTTCTTCTTCTTCTTGCACTAATCTGCGTTTTGGCCAAACCTCTGGCGAAAAATCCGACCTTTTCTGCGCCGATCTCTCTTGCGTAGAGAAGTCCTCCTGGTTGTCATGCCAAAGAGGCACCAAAGATTTCTGTTCTGTTGGTAGGGTTTATGTTGATCTTGCCGATAGTTCATGCAACAAAACCCACCCGCAAATCTGGGGTTTGACTCCTTACAGTAATACTCATCAGAAAAAGAAGTGAAAACTACGGATGTTAATGCAAAACCTCTTAGCTGAGTTCTTGGAAGCATGCAGGCAAAGAAAGTTGTTCCATGTTCTTGTAGTTACAAGACGTTAGGAGGAAAAGGGCCACTTCTCGAGTGTGTGTTCTTAGACCCAAGGATGCTGAAATCCGGCAAACAAGTCTTAATGCTCCATTTTTCCTCTGCAGATAACATAGAGAAAGTTGCAGTCCGTGCCTACTTTTCCCCACACAAAACTCATCTCTTCCCACCGTCAAGTCAAATACTCTGACTTCCATGAACATCAAGGAAAACTTCCCTTCCTAATGTTGTTTTTCTGCAATTTTTCCTCTAATTGACGTAATATTGTCCACAAAAATTCCAACTTGTTTTCACTTTAGATGCTGAAGCCCCCCTGAGAAAACCTTAGAGAAGCCAGGAAGAAGCTGAGCTTCAGCCTGAAAACCTTTCTTCGTCTGTGCGTTACAACACTTTTCCTCACCCTTCTCTCTCTCTCTCTCTCTCTCTCTCCTCTGTTGTTTTCTGCTGATCCATTTAGAGAGCTTCTGTGTTTGTTTGTTTGGTCTATGACAAAAGGATCAGCTAAAGTTATCATTTCTCTGTGGAATTTGCTCCTGATAAGATCTTCTTTCTCTGTGATTCTATAGGAGCTTCTTCTTGTTTTAGATCTAAGCTGTTACCTGGTCATGCACTCCCCAAGTAGACATTTGATTACAGCTGAGCTTTTATTCTATTATGTTTTATGTTTCTAAATCCTCCTATTTCCAAACTTATTTTAACTTGGATCTCATTTAGTTATATCAGCCACTGACAGTGAGTAAAATGTTATTGCTCTTTTACTGCAAGTGAAAGCATTTTTCTAGTTATTTTAGATTGTGTTTTATGCCATCATCAAGATTTCAACTCCATGCTCTTATTATTCTGGGAATAAAACAAGATCCCTGTTAGATATACTGATCTCAGTCTGATATGCATCGATCTGGTAGCAGTATTATCTGATCACTGATTTGTTGGGTTTCGCTGGCTGTGTTGTATCTTAGGCTTTTGAAGGAGATCACCGGTAGCAATGCCTCAGCGCAGCTTGACCCGTGCTCACAGCGTCCGGGAGCGCATCGGCGACTCTCTTTCTTCCCATCCAAATGAACTGGTGGCTCTTTTCTCAAGGTTTGCAACCATCTTGGATCTAAATCCATCCTTGATGAATTATGATGAATGCTACAGAAGATCACATATTGTCCTTTCGGATTGGTGTTGGATCTCTGCATGCTTGCTCTAATAGCCGATAAGAAAGAAAATTGGAATCATCCATCGATCTGTATAATTTATGACTGTTCCATGGCATGTAAGCATCAAAGATAGTGTGATCTCCATCTATGGACTGCTACCTATCATTTATTCAGTGTCGATCATTATCCTGTAAATCCAAGTACTCATGGCAGCTGATTTGGTGGTTTATATGGCTATTCACGATAAATCGTATCTGATTTCGCATCATCCTGCAGGTTCATTCATCAGGGAAAGGGGATGCTGCAGCCTCATCAGCTGTTGGCTGAATATGCAGCCGCCTTCTCTGAAGCAGACAAGGAAAAGCTCAAGGATGGTGCCTTTGAGGATGTCATCAAAGCCGCACAGGTATAAGTCGGACTGCCGCTTGTTCTTGCGATCAAATTATGGTGGTTGCGTGTTTTCATGACACCATATTTCCTCTAATGCAGGAAGCCATTGTCATCCCTCCATGGGTTGCTTTAGCTATCCGTCCAAGGCCAGGAGTTTGGGAATACGTCCGCGTGAATATCAGCGAGCTTGCCGTGGAAGAGCTGACGGTGCCGGAGTACCTGCACTTCAAGGAAGAACTTGTTGATGGCAGGTAGGTGATGCCATGACAGAATATTATCTATCTTCTTCTTTATATAATTTGAGGCAACTATGTTGATCTTGTCTTGCCTTTCTTGTGCCATTTCAGCTCGCAGAACAACTTTGTGCTGGAGTTGGATTTCGAGCCATTCAATGCTTCGTTTCCTCGTCCCTCGCTCTCAAAATCTATCGGGAATGGAGTGCAGTTCCTCAACCGTCATCTTTCTTCAAAGTTGTTCCAGGACAAAGAAAGCTTGTACCCATTGCTTAATTTCCTCCGGAAGCATAACTACAAGGGCATGGTACTTATCTCTTCTCTATATCCTTTATCATGCAATCACGAGGGGCATATGTAGTCGATAACTATATGCCGAATAGTTAGGATTAAATTGTTTAAATCATAGACACAGTTAAACTTATTGGAGTGATCAAAGTTAATATGTGCTCATTCTTTGTAATGCTTGCAGTCGATGATGCTGAATGACAGAATACAAAGCCTTAGTGCTCTCCGAGCAGCATTAAGGAAGGCAGAGCAGCATCTGTTGAGCATCCCATCGGACACGCCATACTCGGAATTCCACCACAGGTAATCAATAATGTTTCCTTTTTTCTTCTTGTTTAATTTTCTCCAGACTTGCATCGTGTTTGATCGGGCTTTTTCTTATTTTGCTGATTTTAGATTCCAAGAGCTTGGCTTGGAAAAGGGTTGGGGTGACAAATCTCAGCGCGTGTACGAGAATATTCACCTGCTACTAGATCTTCTCGAGGCCCCTGATCCGACCACCTTGGAGACTTTCCTCGGAACAATTCCTATGATGTTCAACGTCGTGATCCTTTCTCCGCACGGCTACTTTGCTCAAGCTAATGTCTTGGGGTATCCCGACACTGGTGGTCAGGTACAATTGGATCCTAACTAGTCTAGACATTCATCACACGAAATGTGTTTCTCATGAGGGCACTCGTCTGCAGGTTGTCTACATTCTGGATCAAGTCCGTGCCTTAGAAAATGAGATGCTACTGAGGATCAAGCGCCAAGGGCTTGATATCACGCCTCGAATTCTCATTGTAAGATTGGAATGAGATTAAATGGGCAACTCCCACTTAGAGTTTTTGAGAATATATCTCAAGCTCATGATATCGGGTTAATGCAGGTTTCCAGATTGCTTCCTGATGCAGTAGGCACCACTTGCGGGCAGAGACTTGAGAAGGTCCTTGGGACTGAACACACCCATATACTTCGAGTGCCATTTAGAACGGATAATGGAATTGTCCGCAAATGGATCTCCCGTTTTGAAGTGTGGCCTTACCTAGAGACCTACACCGAGGTAAACCTTAATCACAATACCTTTGTTTTGAAATCTGAAATCTCAATGCGATAAATACGAAGAATATGAATCTGCACTGTTGAACTTATTCATCAAGGTTTACAATCCTTCCTTTTTTTTTGATAGGATGTTGCAAATGAGTTGGCAGCAGAACTGCAGGCCACTCCTGATCTAATCATTGGAAACTACAGTGATGGAAATCTGGTGTCAACTTTGCTTGCACATAAATTGGGAGTCACCCAGGTTGGATATCATTTTCTTTTGTTTAGTTTGTACTTAACTGGTGCTTCTTACTCTCACTAATCTCATGCTAATTAAATCTGGTATAAGCTTCAAATCTCTCGGTCATGCTCGTCTTCTTTCACATGCAGTGCACCATTGCCCATGCGCTCGAGAAAACCAAGTATCCCAACTCGGACATCTACTGGAAGAAGTTCGAGGACCAGTATCATTTCTCGTGCCAATTCACGGCTGATTTGATCGCAATGAACCATGCCGACTTCATCATCACCAGCACCTTCCAGGAGATTGCTGGAAGGTAATGATCAGGCTGCAGAACTCTCGGTTCCAAAGTCTTGTCATCTGTGAGTCACTATTGGGATCCTAATGAATTCTTTGTATCTTATTTGATTTCAGCAAGGACACCGTGGGGCAGTACGAGTCTCACACTGCCTTCACTCTTCCTGGGCTCTACCGAGTCGTCCACGGAATTGATGTCTTCGACCCAAAGTTCAACATTGTTTCTCCTGGTGCTGACTTGTCCATTTACTTCCCGTACACCGAGAAGCACAAGAGACTCACTTCCCTCCACCCAGAGATTGAGGAGCTGCTCTTCAATCCTGTCGATAACACCGAGCACAAGTAAGCACCTTTATACACCAAGTCTAGTGTTTGATGCAGTGGCTGACACAAAGATCTTGCAGGGGTGTTCTGAATGACAAAAAGAAACCCATTATATTCTCCATGGCGAGACTGGACCGAGTGAAGAACTTAACAGGTCTGGTCGAATTCTATGGCCGGAGTGATCGCCTGAAGGAGCTGGCAAACCTTGTGGTGGTTTGTGGAGACCATGGCAAAGAATCAAAGGATCTGGAGGAACAAGCAGAATTCAAGAAGATGTACAGTCTCATTGAGAAGTACAATCTGCATGGGCATTTCCGGTGGATCTCTGCCCAAATGAACCGAGTTCGCAATGGGGAGCTCTACCGATACATTGCCGACACGAAAGGAGTTTTCGTTCAAGTACTTCTCTTCTTTCTGGAAAAATGGCACGCTGTTACTTCTCGAGTTGAAGCTTCACTAACCTGCATTTGTTTGCTTTGCTATCCTTCAGCCTGCATTCTACGAAGCGTTTGGGCTCACTGTCGTCGAATCCATGACTTGCGGACTGCCGACATTTGCCACTGTTCATGGAGGACCTGGTGAAATTATAGTGGATGGGGTGTCTGGTTACCACATCGATCCTTACCAGGGCGACAAAGCTGCCGAAATCGTCACAAACTTCTTTGATAAGTGCAAGGAAGACCCGAGCCACTGGGACAAAATTTCCCTAGGAGGGCTGCAAAGAATAGAAGAGAAGTAAGATCTTTTCCTCTTTGCTGATGCTTTCTTGTTATCCAAGAATGCCCAGAACAAGGAATTCTAAACCACTATCTAACTCGGATTAGGTACACCTGGAAGCTCTACTCTGAGAGGCTGATGACACTGACTGGAGTTTATGGTTTCTGGAAGTACGTATCGAACCTGGACCGGCGTGAGACTCGTCGTTACCTCGAGATGTTCTACGCCCTCAAATACCGCAATTTGGTAAATGCCACAGGCCTGAATTTGTCCAGTGAGAAGCTTATCATATCGTCATTCTACTAATGTTTGTGTTGGGTCGATCTTTGTTTTCAGGCTGTGTCTGTACCACTGGCAGTTGAAGGAGAAGCTGCGGTTAATGGCGCCAAGTAGAACTGAGTGGGAAGCGTCGTCACTGTCATCGCTGAGTTGATCTGTCTGTTTACGAATCAGAGGACTACAAGGGAGAGGCTTTCGTCGCGAGTTTTCGTCTCAATTAACATGAGCTGCTGCTTAGCAAAGTCAAAAATGCAAAAAAGATCGTCTTTTGATGTTTTCAGAGTGTTGTGTAAGCCTGGAATGCCAGTGTTCTGTTGCAATAAAATTAGCCTCCTTTTTCATTACCAAAATACTGAGAATCGAGTCTTGTGTGCATCGAGTTCTTGTTCCAGTAGACAGCACGTTTGCATGTATCAAGCACAAATAGTAGCACATATGCCTGAACGATGCAGGAAAGATTAATGATCGGACGCAGGCAGCATGTCTTGTGTGACATTTGGCTTCAGGATCACAATAATTCTATTAAGCCACGATGACACTCGATCTTGCAAACAGAGGTAAACTTCATCATCAGAGGAAAAGTAGATCAGAGTTGGCAAGTCATTGACTTGTAGGTCGAACCGAGTCTATGAACAACTGATGCAGACAAGCTTATCCAATAGTAGTAGTAGCCAAAGGAGTTGTGATCCTTCATGGACTCATCAGTGGTGGGTAGAATCGAGATCAGCTGACAGTACTGATAGGAGAATTGAACGGCCATAGTCGAAGGCATGATTGAAGAGGATTAGCACCTGCCCAAAAGCAACCCCAAAGATTACTGTGAGAAGTTGACTATAGCTTTGAAATGTGCGTATCTTTGAGATCATATGGCCGACAACTTTGAGTAGAAGTCAAAAAACTAATGGAAGGCATATATAAAGCAGTGTAAAGTTGAAATGATTCTGAGATGCTTTTTGTTCTTGCTCAAGTCTAAAGTTCTTCTGATTAGTACCTGGAAAACCTTGCAGGAAACTGCAGATATAACTTGAGCAAACTGTTGAGGGAATCCAAAAACTCAAGTTGTAGATCTAGCAAGATCTTATTACTTTCATACGATAGGAACTCAGATATAAGTTATGGTGACATGATAAGATAAAGAAGACATGAATCGGACTTTGTGTTTCAGATTCCAGATGGAAACAAGATAAAATCCATGACATGGGATGGACTCCTGCAACAATGTTGATCTGGTTTTCACAAAGAGACAAGGAGTTTGTGGGTGCTTGCCAACCTTCAGAAAGTGAAAATGTCTGGAACAAGTTGCCGATCTATAGCTCAATCACTGTGGGGAGATTCTTGATAATGACAGCAGGGGAACTCAGCTGCAGCAGATCACTGTGCAAATAGTGGAAACCTAACTTACACCCCCTCTCCTTTCCTCTTCTCACTTTCTCTAGTCCGAGCATGCTTCAAAAAATTGACAGCCCTTTCAGTATACATCTACAGTTCCATCTATCTGTGCATGAATCTGCATGGCAAGAAAAGGGATAGAACTATTTGATTAGCTCAACAAAAGCTCCCCTCGACATCTGAAGAGGCAAAAACTGCACTAAACATCAAGAAACACTGGACACAAAAAGGTAGACCTGAAGGTCCGAGAAAAGCCAGCCACCCAATTGGCATCTTTGTTGGTCTCCCTGTATATGATTGATGCTGATTGCATCAAAAATATTAAGCTGTCGTCAAGGGAATGGTTTCTTTTTGTTGAGAACCTCCACCAAGTTGGCAGCATCACTTTATACCAATAGTCGTGTGATTGCAACCCATCCTTCACCATGAAGGCTTCGCAGCTACAACCTGAGCTGTCCTGTACAAACCTGCCACCAGAAATGAAAACATCTGCTATTAGAGTTCTTAATTAAGAAACCCACACCCCTGTATTATCTTTGTAACACCAAGCCCCATCAGTACTCGACTCTACATGACACTAACTTGTTGTCTTACCCACGGTTTGCTGTACCAACCGAGTTGGTATGGTATGGGCGGTACGTATCGATCCGACTCGTCACTGAGATACAGTTTGTCCGAATCCACATCAGCAGGGTCTTGGCGTACCATGTGTCAGTACACCGGTATATCGGTGCAGACTGATATGTACCATACCGATAAATCTCTGAGACGGGTCCGGTACCCGAAATGACGAACCTTGGTTTTACTAAGTGCAAAACTTGTGAAGCTTGTGGTCTGGAAAGGCAACTACTGCTGCTCGTCTTCCCGTTCTCCTTGTCTGTTTTCAGTCAACAGTGGGCAGATATCATTCTGCCAGAGCTAATCTTGGGAGACTTGTGTCGTGGGGAATTGTTGAGATTGCTTGTTCACCAAAGAGGCCATGGAGTTCTTTCTCACTTGTAGTGAGTGCATGTTTCCTGCACGAGGAAAGAAACAACGTGGTTTATACTCCAAGGTGGTAGCTTTTGCCAGCAAACTCTTAAGACTTACTACTTTGTTGGCAGGTGTGCAGATGTTGAACCACTACAACTTTGCGTCAATCCATGTACCCTCCCAGCGAGTGATAGGGAAGCTGCTTGCACTGTAAAAATGTGAATTTTGATCAGAGTTTTTTCTCCTACAGGTGGGGTGTTTGAACTACAGGAGGGCAGCCCCATTCTCCTGAAGCATAGCTTTTCCATCAAGTCACACAAAGGTCCGCAGGGAGTTCAAGCAATCTAGCTGTTGAAACTCTGCAAATCCACACACAAAAAAGATGTTTCACCTTGTTATCCACAACAATGTTTGATAAAAAAATCCTCAATACAGATTTGACTACTTGAGATTTAAACGAACAAAAGATCCTTACCTCTTTATTTGTTAGCATAAGTATTGAAATTTTTTCAAGAATATTTCTAAGTATTAGAAAAAAATCTTATTGGATTCATTACTCTTTCATCTCCTCAATTTGTTTACTTTTCTATTGTAGACCCAATCACTCTTATTTTACTATTATCCTCATGTTTTTTCTATTATAAAAATTATTTTATAATTTATTTAAAATTTATCTAGTTTAAAATTCTATTAAATCTATGATTCGAATAATTGATCCACTGATTCAAACAATAAACCAGAGACTTGACTGACTTGATGTTCGATCTATTTTAATTACTGTGTTCAAATCAAGAGAGAAAACTTGTCATTGACTGATAAAAAGTCAAACTTCTCTTTTTTTCCATTTAGTTTTCCCTAAAGTGTCCAAATATGAATAAGCTTCAAAGATTCAGCAGCATTGTTGATTGATTAAAATATTCATCCCCAGTATGGTTAAATCGGGAAATAATTTTCACAAGTCAGAGAAATGTACCTAAAAGCAGAGTGGGCCAACCAACATCTCATACAAGCAGATATTTATCAAGAACGACAAAGATTTCCCCAAATCTTTAAGTGCCTGAGAAGATGATGTTTGTGGTGGAATCATTCATTTCCTTCGAAAGGGTAATAACTGGAGCCATCATTTAAGAGAAAAGACACCAACATAACCAGATCTTCAACCTGCATTGATCCATACACCCTGCAATCCAATTTAATCCTCATTATCAGTTGAAAAATATTCAATAGAATGATTGCTTATTAACATTTAGATGTTTTATTAGTCAAAAGCAAACACATGACACAATATCATATTGTTCCAATACAGTGAGATCTAGAACATGATCTAGTCAATGCAAAACATAAACTAGCATGTCAGTGTTTATATCCATGCTCACTGAACAAATTTCGGTATACAAAATTAACAAATAAGAGCTTTGCTTTTGCTGTTTAAGAATAAATTTGGTATAATTATGCAATCAAGCAAAAAGGAAACATGAGCATTGTGAACAAATCTTTGTAGAAGCTAAGAAGAGCTCTGCATGTGCTGCTTAAAAATATTTACTTAGGTTATCTAAATGTATGCAATCAAGGACATGGAACCCAATAACAGTAGATTACAAAAAAGATTACTGTTGAAACAAGCTCAGTCAAAAGCTAACGAAGGAGAGCTATGCATGTGCTGCTTAAAAATAGATGTATTAAATTTATGCAATCAAGAAATGGAATCTGAAGTATAGCAGATTACCAAAATGAATGATGGTGAAACAAGATCAAGGTCAGAAGCTAACAAAGAAGAGCTGTGTGTGTGGTGATTGAAAATATAGATTACGGTTAACTAGATTTATGAAATCAAGAAAAAGGAATCCCAAGTAAAGCAGATTACCAAAAAGACTAATGGTAAAACAAGCTCACAGTCCCCACAAAGCTGGTCCCTTCCTTGAACCAAGGGAGAAGCAACATCGAGTGAAAGTTAAATATATCGAAGTCCCCACAACTTGCCTTTAACAAAGGCAAGAAAAAATTAAAACCACTTTTATTCCAAAACTGTCAGGAGAAAACCAACTCTTGTTTTTTGCCAATCCCAATGGTAGTCTCCATCCATATGAATCCACAAAAAAACTAAGCTCTCTCCACAACAAGCCACAAAAGTACAACCCTTGTTCTGACTCCTTTCTTTTATTACCAAAGATATAGGCTAGATCAAGATGCAGCATAATAGACAACAAAAGAATCTGCAACTGCTGTCTTGTTGTTTCAATTATCACTGAAATAACCAATGATGCTAGTACAAAAGATGCAAACTTGAAAGTTGACAGCGTTCACAGCACATTTAGATTACATTTTGTCAAAGACCACCAATCCCTTAATTGCCACCCATGAGATTGCCTCTGGGTTTTGAAAGCCATCTTTCATCAAGCAATATCTATGCTTCCTAGATAACAATTAACCAGTTTTATAAAACAAGCAGACGCAAATAATTTAAAATATTATCATAGACATAACATTTGGAAACATAGACTTGTAGGCCAATAACCACTAGAATTTGAAGCTCATGAACCATTAACAATTAAGAACTATTGAAGTCATGGCAGACCATTAGTAGGCAGTATCAGATCGAATTCACAACATATAAAAATAATAACAATACACATTTGGTCCCAACCCTGCTATAACCCCTTGTGTTCATCATCAATCTCATAATGAATCTGGTAAAAGCAACAGCAGAATCTGAAAGAATTGACTTAAAAGAAAGCATTACTCATCAGAAGATGAGAAACACATCCAAGAAACCACAAAGTGAAACAATTCATACAGCTACAATCAAAGGTGTTCTTGAAGGCACTAGTGCAAATCAAATTACAATGAATTTATTATATCTGGCTACTGTTTCCAGTTCTGCATATCCTTCAGCAATATTGATTCCTGAGAAAGTAACAAAATGTAAGGAAAAGCTCATTTTCCAAAATAATAGTTACATTTAAGCATGGTAGAACAACCTAAGATCATAAAGATAATCTTACATTTGTTCTTTTCTAGAACGACAATGGCAAGGATCAGAATCCCTCAGTACATGATGCTCTAGTTGGCAAGTCATCAAAGCTCCAAAGGTCCACATCATCCTGTACCAGTTCACCACCAAATAAGCTGTCAATCGATGCATCCAAACTACCCTCAAAGTAAGGCTCAGGGAGGAACTTCATATATGGTTTGTATTTCGTAAGCAGATAACTCCTCTGAGAGTTTGGCTGCAGCATTTTCCTCTGCTGGCACTGCCTCTTTAAATTATTAGGCTCCACTTTCTTCCACAGGCTGATATCATCGAATGATTCAGGTTCATCACCTTCAGTTATGGTGGGAGCAAGAATTGATGTGATATCTGGCATCTTGGCCTCAAGCTCCCATCCAATATCTGTATAACCAAAAGAATTACTTCCCTGCTCTGAGTGGAAATTCAGTCCGGTTACTTCTGAAGGTGCTGCAGGTATTGTGATAAGAGAATCTGAGTAGTCAGGCTTGGTTAGTTCCCTGTCCTCCATAAACCTTAAATAGAGCTCAAGCTTTTGGTCACTCTGGTACTTAATAGTTTGCTTGAAGTCAATCGTCTCTGACACTTTTGGTTTTGAAACTTTTCGTGCAGTAGGTTTTGGTGAGAATTTTGTTGAACCTGACAATGGTGCAGTAGGGAAGTTCACCTTCTCTTTCTTACCCCAGATTCAACAGGCTTCAACATCATAGGCTCTGGCAGCCTCTTCAGCAGTGTTAAAGGTTCCAAGCCAGACATGAACCCCTTTGTGAGGATCCCTGATTTCAGCTGCCCACTTGCCCCATGGGCATTGTCGGATTCCTCTGTACTGATTCTTTTTTTTTTTAAGCTGATTTAGCAGCAGATCCATTAAAATTTACAGACTTGGTCATTGAGCCCTCTGCAAACCAAACAAAAATTTGAAGTGCTATAGTAAAAGCTCTGAAATGATGAACTTGGAATATCCCTTTCTTGCAGAGTTCTCTTGAGCACCACCTTTTTCTAATAACAAAGAGATTTTCTTTTCTTTTGGTTATATCAAAAGTATAAACTCTATCTTACAGACTCCTTCCTTTGATGTTTACTTTCATCATTCATCACATTATAAAAAAAAAGGTCACCTGTATTCATTATAGCATTTGGTACATGATATCAAATTTATAAGAAGTTATAAATTTAATCAAGGTACAAGCAACAATGTACATCCAAACATTTACTCGGTTAGACTAGCGAAGAAACAGTGAAACTAGTGATTAGGTAGATCAAATCTCAAATTAAGGCTTTTCTCCCAAAAAGACACACAGAAATCTAATACAAATTGACTACCAGCAGTCCTCATAGTCACTAGGTCTCTATCTTTCTATGCTAAGACATCCAAAGAATACGATTTTGACTACCAGAGTTCCAGTATCTCTCCATTTGAAATCACAAGAACATCACAAGCAACAGTCATGCACATCGATGTAAATATAACTATCACAAAAACTTGTATTTGATCAATGAAACCTTCAGATCTACAATTTAGTTGTTTCATGTTACGCTTCCGGATTTCCACAATTCATAAGTAACCTAGAAATCGACTGTTTAATCATATTTGTTTCTTCTAGTTTCTAGATCGTGTATTCGCAATAACTCGTTAATAAAAATGAAATCCATTTCATAGGATCTAGCAAAATAATGGTAAAAGATCAACAAAAATATGGACCTAACAACATCAAAATTCGAGGAAAAGATCGCGTCTAATACCTCGGGAAATAATGGATTTTGATCCAAAGGAGAACCGCATGGCATCGAACTCGTCCTCCTCGGACTCGTCGTTGAACTCCTGGAAGTCGGCCTTCCCCTCCTTCTGGTCCTCCACCATGAGACGCTTCCCCCTCTTCGGCTTACCCGGCCACAAGGCGGGCGTCGGTATGAAGTCAGAGATGATTGCATTTCCGTACATCCCCGGAACCCCTTCTTCCAATGTCGAAAGCTCCCTCCTGTTTTGGTCTTTCCTTACCTGTCTTCTTTGTTCTCTGTTGAGAGGGAGGGTGACGGTTTTTATAGGATTGACAATCCCTTGTTATTGATAATTCTTTTAAAAAAATAATAAAATATTATTTTATAATTTACAGTCCTTGTAATAATGATTTTATTTTATTTTACCCCTATAATCTCGTATTTTATCTTTGCTAATGCACTTAATATTGAGAAGAAAATGAAATATAAGAGGAAGAAAAAAGGGATGACGAGGAGGACGAAAAGAAAGAAGAAGATGATAATATTTATGTTTCTTTTTAAAGAAATAGTTTAAAAACATTTAAATGAGATTATAAATAGTAAAATGAGGATATAAAGAATATTTTTCTTTTAGCATTTTTGATTATATGTCTAAAAATATGATATTTTGAGCATTTTTATGATAGTTCAGAAGACATCATCTTTTATCTTTTGAACTAGTCTATATCAACTCAAAAAATATCATATCATGAATATTTATATAAATTGATTGTATAAAGTAGTGATAATTGAAGGTGTGTGATAAATACAATTATCATTGGTAATTGAGGGATTATATTTGATAAAAATATATTTTATTATTTTTAGGTGATTATACAAAGTAATGGGTTACCACTTGCAATTTAGGGTAATCTTTAATTTTTTTTAATCTTTACAATTTAGGGTGATCTTTTGACTACAGTTTGAAACTTTAGATCACATAATTATCCTTTAAAGAATAATAATATTAAAATTATTTGGACATTTTATATCTTTTAAAATTCAAACTAGCTGATACTAATCTCAATAGAAATAGTTAACCTAAGTCTTATATATGGACATTAAGAGGAGGGGTATAAGTGAGAAAATTTTAATATTTAAAATTTATAAAGACATTTAATTACAAAACAAGCTAGCTGAACACAAATCAAATATGTGAGGGTTAATATAATATGTATGTATGTATCTATCTATCTATCTATTTGGCTGTATTTGACACCAAACCTAAATCTTTAGGATGCTGACCATGGAAATCAAAGATGGATGATGAAACCTTTGACCTCAATTCATTACTACTAAACACAGCAAGTATCAAGTGAGTGTATAAACAAAATGACAAGTGACTGGTAGCAAGATGTATTGATGCTGGCACATCATGTCTAATCTCATTCATCCCTCCATCTACATATTTGTGGATTATGGAACCTTTTTGTCCCCATCAGAAAACTTTTTGACTTTTGCAAAAGAAAAAGGTCATTTGCAAAAGAAATGCCATCTTGACTTTTGCATAAAGAAAGGGGGAAAAGGGAGTTCTTGGCACACCCACAGCCTACAATTTATGAAAGATTTTCTGCAAGTCAATTTGTGGATTTATTACATAGAGGCTGCAAGCTCTGATGCTTCATAAATGTGATGACACATGAAATTAATGTGATGAATGCTAAAAGAATTCAGGAAGCTGGAGAGGTTGAGGACAGGCAGCTCAGTTGACTGCTGGCAGCAAGTTTGAGATTCATAATGCAATGCAATTTGGTCAACCACTGAAGCAAAAGCAGCAGACCTAATGACCCTTCGACCATTGACTTGTTTTGTTGGCCTTCTTCGTCATCCCTGACCTTGTCGAGGAATTAAGAAGCTCCACTTCACCTCATATTTAAATCTGCTTTCGTTGGCAGGAAACTATGAGATTTTCTGAGCTTCGAGGATGTGATGCATCTCGATGGAAGGAACACATTTAATTTGACCTGAAACTTCCATCTAAATGAAGCAATGACAAGCAAGAGATTAGTCAACCAAACCGACATTGATCCAACTGGAGGATCTATCTAAATCGAAGCAAGAACAAGAAGAAAGGAAGCCTTTAGCAGCTGAAACAGAGTCAGCAACACGCATACACCACAAAGAAGAGCATCAGGTTTCAATGATCAACTAGTGATAGCACATGGGAATGGGGATGATTAGATGTGATATACATCATTTGAATATTCTAATTACTATGGTTTCAAGGTGATTCGGTGCTCGAGGTTCTTACCGGTGCGAGGTGTAGAGACCGATCATGGTCCACGCATGTGATGTACCTCTGTGTGAGACAATTCATAGTGTCAGTGGGGTACCAATCTGGAAGGTATCATTTGGCCTCATGTTTCCCTCTGCAGCTTCGACCAGACACTTCAGATTTCTCTTCACGGTCTGTGCTTTCTGTGATGTCCACTTCCACTCGAAATGGTCTGCCATGGTGCCGAAGAGCATGAATTCCCCGTACACATTCGCACGGCCGAGAAACCGTGATCTACCGCAATGCTTGCTCTCTGCAAACCAGAAAGATCGCTGTCAAGAGACAGCAGATGCTTATCATTTCTGTGGACGTCCTCCAGCTCAAGAACTATACGGACCCACCGATCACTGTAGACAGATTCTGAGAGAAAAATAATGAGCTGACGGCAGTAAAAATCTTGGAGGAGATCTTGTCCATCGATGTGAAATCTGGAAGGACGATGTTGCAGATCTTAGCTGAAACACGAACCTAACAGTAATAAGAGAAAGGAAAACAAAGGCAAATCAATTTCAGAAGCATCTGGGGATGATGAATTCATCCTCTCGTGGTGCCAATCTACAATATCTCAGAACTAACAACAAAAAGGAAGCACGAAGAGTGAGAACAGGAGATATCCATTATCCCAATCCCACCCGGAAACCACTCAGAACATAGCAACAAAGAGAAGTAGATATGAAAGAATGCTTGCAAACTCGGCAACTCAGATCAATGCATGCGCTCATGGTTCTATCTTAACCACGGAGTTTCCCGTACAGATTTAGTGGAAACCCAGAATGCTAAGTCTTCTCCTGTCCCAGTGGAAGCAGAATGCTGTATTCATGAACTGGTCGGAGCTTTTGAAACGGGAAGACGTCCCTGCTCGACATCGCATCCTCGAGGACCACAGGAAGCGCCGCCCGGCCTGCTTCCGCGGATCAGAAGCCTTCGCAGCGACCTCAATGTTGCTGTCGGCAGCGACCTTATGTCTTCTTCGGATGGCATACTCGCAGGAAGGGGCGAATTTGGAGCGTGGACACCCAGAGGAGTCCCTGAAGAAGACGCAGAAGAACCCGAACTCCCTTCTTGTGATTCCGAATCCTCTGATGCACAACGCAGGACATGCGCCGGTATCTCCGGTGAGGTTTCTTCCGGATGCGGGTCGCCGGGAACCAGGGCAGAGACGAATTCGGAGTCTCCGGGCTTGTCCACCACCGCCGGGCTCCGGCATATGGGGCAGGTGGAGTGGGAGGAGAACCACGTATCGATGCAGTGGAGATGGAAGGCGTGGCCGCACCTGGGCAGCAGCCGGGAGGCCTCCCCCTCCGACAGCTCGCAGAGGCAGACCGCGCACTCCAGGCCCTCCTTGCAGTCCCCGGCACGGACCACCACCGAGGGGAGCGCAGCGACGGACGCCGCATCGAGGCCGCGCCGTTGCGGGACAGCCGCTGGCTCCGCAAAGCGGTCACGGCCGCCGACGGAGACCGGGATGGCGCCCCAGTAGTGCTTGGCGCGGAGGTAGAGGAAGAAAACAAGGACGAAGAGCGCGAAGGATGCGGCCACCCCCCCGACCATGATCCCGGTGGTCGCCGTCAGCGACGGCCTGCCTACTCCGCCCATCGCCGGCCCTGTGCCCGACATTGCAAAGCTGAAATCAACGACCAACTTACAGGATTTGGCCTAATGGTCGCAGAAGCAACTTGTAGCAATGTCTCAGTGAAGAATCTTGGAAATCTGCTCGGCAATGGAGGATATGGCAGTAAATCTAACCTCTGTAACAGAGGTTCTTTAAGGAAAGGTTGTCGAAGAGAGAGAGGAAGAGAGAGACGTTTTGCTATTGCAGCTGCCGCTTCCTCTTCGAGTGGTGGTGGATCTGTCGCGACGCACCTGTTGGGTGCGCCGTCGGTGTCTGGTTGCGTACACGTCCGTAGTGGGTTGTCGAAGAAGTACAAGTGCGACCTTATTAGCGTCAGCAGGATTCTGTCGGTGTCCCGATGACTGAATGCGCTGCATGGCAACATTGCTCGTGTCACTATCTCCAGCGTACGCGTGTATTGTTGCGTTCGTCGATTAACTTAGTGATGGGCATTTGATCATTCGTCTGCCATCGAAAGTGGGTCCCAGTTTGACGCCCAGTCACAGCCGGACAGGTAGGTCAGCTAGGACCAAGATCGTCGAGTGTCTTCGAAGAGTCGATTACTGATACGACGCCTAGCGAGCGGACCTGTCCCTCGGCGAGCCTACTCACCGGCAATGGCGGATCCGAGATTGGAATCCGGCCACTGCTCTTCTTGGCATCTCTCGTTCTCTACTGCGTCCTCTCGGCTCCTTGAAGAAGAGGAGTCTGAAGAACTCGAACTGCCTTCAACACTGGCTTGAAGGTTTAATGATGTTCGCCGGGGAAATCCACTTGTCGAGCACCACAGGTCTCCGGCCGAGCGGGCAGGTTGAGTGGGAGCAGGCGCGGTGCCTCGCACTCCAACAGCTCGCGGAGGCCGCAGCATGGAGGCCGCTATACTGCTGCGAGACGGTGGCAAGCTCGGCGGCGACTACCAAGCGGCGCTGCGGTTGAAAGCACTGGGCGATGACGTGAATCCAGAGACTGAAGAAGACAATGGCTGCTGAGACAATGAATCCGTTGGCTATCGACACCGACTGTTCTTCTATGTTAAACGCTGTTCTCGATTGTTGATGGAGGAGTCTCGTTGTCGGAGAGACCTATGAGGCCCGTCTATACATATATAATGGGCATAATCGGCCCACGAGGCCCGTCTTTCGGAACGGCCCGCAACCACCCCGTCGCCTCCGCCGCTGACTCCGCCAATCAAAGATCAAAGAATTGCGAATAAACCCTTCTGGTCTTCCCCTCCGAGAGAGCTTCAACAAGAGTTCCTCGACGCAGGAATCCTTCGAGAGTCAAGGAATCCATAGAGAGAGAAGAGAAGCATGCAGCAACCAGTGCATCCCATGACCCCAATGGCTCCGATCCTCACCGCCAACATCACCACCGAAGAGATTCAGAAGGTAATCACCCCAGAACCGCTCCCACTTCCCGCCCCTTTTCCTTCCGTTCGCCTGGTTTGAACTCTAGGGCTCGACGCTCCGATGCGTCGTCTCCTATGTCATCCTTTGACTAATCGATGCCTGATTCCTTATTTATCTTCTTGGTCTTTAATGGAGTGGCTGCGGATGGGGATGCCGACGTGTGTTTGGAGTTATTGGGGGTCGAGCGAGGGCTACTTTTCTACGATAATTAACATTAAATCATTATGTGTGAGATTTGGGCTATAGGAGAACTTCTACATGTATAGTTGCTTATCTTTGCCCAAGAAAAGGAAAGAGAAAAGGAATATTTGTCCTTTGCAAGTGTTTCTGGTTGTTATAGTGTGCATCTTTGCTCAAAGGTATCTCAACTAAGTTGTTGAAGGCTTGTCCTCTTATGTTTATGTTTTTGTTCTTGTGCCATTATTTCTAACATTCTGCTATAAATCATTGTGGAGATTGAAGTAACTTTTGTCTTCATGGCAGTATCTGGATGAGAACAAGCAGCTGATTTTGGCTATTTTGGAAAACCAGAATTTGGGGAAGTTAGCTGAATGTGCTCAGTAAGTGATTAACTTTCCTTTCTTTTTATGGCTATCTATAGATATGTCACTATTGTTCTTATATGTTGCCATTTTACAATCAAATTTCATCAAGTTTTACTCACATAATTCTTCTAACTGTGAAGTGTCGACTGATTACTTCTGTATGATTTTGTTGATTAATGTGAGAAACAAATATAATTATATGGATGCTAGTCTGATTGGTATTTGTCTTGATCCTCAGGTGAAGTATAGTTTGGAAACAAGATATCATTACGTTTTTAATGGTTTTTTTATTTAAAATGTAGTTTCTGATTATTTTTATTGGTGGTATCTACTCAGTTTTATTTTATGTTTGGTTTGGTTGATGCAGCAAACGATCATGAAGGAAAGGAAAATAAATGTTTTAGGCTTAGTTCTAATTACTCTCTGCCATAAATTGTTCAAAACCAGTAAAAGTCAGTAAAAGTCGCACACTATTGTTGGCAAAAGATTGTGGAGTGCGTCGGAAAACAGAGCGATCTTTTGGCTATTCTGCTGTGGGCAACACAGAACATCAATAATCTTTTGTAAGTACAATTAAAAAAAAAAAAAAAAAAAGTAGTGAAAGAGGATGTAGAAATCTGAGAACTTTAAGGTGGGCAGAAAGAGAAGTGCATCCTGACCCACTGGCCGAACACCTTATCAAATTTAACAAGGAACTAGGTGATAATCAACGTTTGAAACACAGCTGGTGGAACGAAATTAGGAAAGTATTGTGACCATATTAAAGGAGTGAAATGGTGTTTTTTGAGAAGGGAAGTTCATTATTTGAAGGGGCTGAATATTTGTTTTACCATTTGTTTAACAAAATAGGCATAAACACATTTCGCAGATGAAAACAAGAATTTTCTGTGAATTAATGTATCATTTATATATACAACAAATTTGATCAGTCGCTTTCTATAGTTTCACACCTGAGTTGATAATACACCTAAATTTCTCCAAAAGTTTCTGAAAACTGGTGAGGAGGAATTCTAGACTAATCAGACCTTAGTCTCTAACTAATACATTTATTCATTCTGTAAATGACTCATTGTACTTATCATGCAGAAAATTATCCTTTCTTTTTTTAAGAAGGGTCACCAGACCCACAAAGAGGAAAAGGCACCAATTGTAAGACAGGAGAGAGAGAAGGGAATAAATTAAGAAAGAAAAGAAAGAGGAAAATGTAGGGAGTAATAAGATAGAAGTGGGAGAAGAAATTCCTAGTAAAGAGGAAGAAGAAATTCCAGACTCTTTTTTCTTCATTACCAATAGATAAGTTGCACACTCGGTATTAGTCATTATGATATTGAGAGTTAGGAAAAATGTTATAATAGGTTAATGATGATCAGGTTGCTTGCTTTATTGGTTAGTCATAGGAAATAAATTGATGTAGTTAATTTTTGCGTGCCTGAAGCATTAGTAGAAGATGAGCGCATATTGATCATGTTGGATATTCTTTGAAAAGGATGAATACGAGGATGCTATCAACAATTTTGATGGTAGTCATGGTGATGCTACTACCATTGCCTATACTTATGAAAGGATCTTGCCACTGTACTTTTTCTTATTGTTGATATAGCTGACCCATATAATGTGGTGGGAGCCTCATGTACTGTGTCACCCTTTTTGTACAGTGTGGTGGGAAAAGTCAGGCAGGCTGAGGGATGAGGTTCTTGCACACATGGTTACATGGCTGATACCTAAATAATATCATATGCCATAAGTTTTAAGGAGGAGGCAGTCTGTTGTGATGTTGTGACGGTTGGGGAGACATAATGTCAAGTAGCAAGTGCAGCAGCCTTTGGGATGTCAATTGTTGTCCTTATGATTGTTGTAACAGTTGGTACTCCCATCAATATCCTCACTGGGATGATGATAATGATGAACATAAGATGTTCTGCTGCCAGGGAATAATTAAAGAGGACCTTGCACAAAGCACGTTGTACAACATCAGGCCTTGCTTAACAAATCCACGTTTTTCAGTAGATCATTAGCTGCCAAGGCCATCATCTAATTACCATGATGTTTAAATCGATAGCAGAATGAGGATAGTCGATGGTGTTGAATGCCATAACGAGAGTTCCCTGTTATTTAGCAGCTTATGGCTGATGAATGTTTCCCTGTGAATAGAGATGGATCTGCAAACCTAAAACCTTTTTTTGTTTTGTTTAATGAGATATATTGTCTAACTGTTACTACATCATTTGTTACATCTGTACTTACGCTGTTTACCCTTATAAATATTTGTGAATTTATAGATTTTCTTCTGCCTCAACATTTGGCACCTTCAAATCAAGGAAAATTCATTGGGGAGGAACTTTCAAATGTTGGATTTTGTCGTCTTTAACTCATACATGTTGCATTATCCGATCCAGGTATCAAGCCCAGCTTCAAAGGAATCTCCTGTATCTAGCTGCAATTGCAGACGCACAACCACAGGCACATGCTGTTCGTCCTCAGGTCAGGCATCATTTCCATGGGATCTATATGTGCTGTTGTTTGAGATCACACGTTGTCTCATAATTCTTGTTAGCAGATGATGCCACAGGGAGGTCATTTCATGCAACAGGCGCCAGTTTTCCCACCCAGAGTTCCACTGCAGTTCCCACAGCAAAGGCCGGAGCAGCATCTGCACCACCAAGTCCAAGCAATGCCTTTCCCGGTCCAAATGGACATGAGGACGGGAGCCATGAACGACATGCACCCCCTGCCGCCCTCTCATGCTGCTACCCTTCGGCAGCCTCACGATGGACAGGGAAGCAAGCAAGACGCATCCGCGGCCGACCTAGGAGCCAGGGAACCAGAACAGAGCCATGCGAAGAGGCCCGAAGACTTGAAGACGCCATGATCTCGCTGTCTCTCTGTCGTACTAAGTCTGTGTCGCAAATGTATTTGAAACGCTAGTGTTGTATCGCCCTCTGTTTGATTGACTCTGCCACTGAATCCTCGATAGCTGCTAAGGAATGACACTTTTCATCTCGGTGTTGTGGTTTTGGTGTTTTGAGGTCTGCCGTGTGGTCGCGGAAGGCTCACCGTTCCTCCATCGCTTCTCTCTCCTCCGTGTCACCCTTTTTTCTGTTGCGGGGATCTTGTGCCTGTGCGCCATATAACTTGCTATGGGCCCCGCAAATTTTGTCCAATCATGGGATTGGTAGGCGAGCGGGTATCGTTAGCCCTTTCTCAGATGAGGCTTGCTCAATAAATGCATATTATATGCGTCGACCGTCGCATACTGCATCGTTCTGCCTCTCTTGTCTCTCCGTCTCTCTCGATTGCGGATTTCACCTTTTGCCCTTGGAACTTCTCCGCGTTTAGGATCCGAGGAGCAGATCGGAGATCGGATCCATGGCGGAAACGCCGCCGCCCTTCCAGGAATCCTCCCGCTGCGACGTCTGCAACTGTAGCTTCACCACCTTCCGCCGCCGGGTACCTTGTTCCCTATCGAGAGAGATATTACGCTTTTTCTCGCGTGTCTATTTCTATGATGCCAAAAGCAATTGTCGATGCGGGTGGATCGAATTTAGCTAGTATCAGGCAATACGACACCGGAGATTGCTGCTAGCCCTCTCCTAGGCCAAACTTTTCCAGTTTCTAGGTGTTTGTGATATTGACAGGATTGATTTTTAACTGGGGTGCATAGTTGCACTATTTTCATTACAGAATTCTTATGATGCTACGGATCGTTCAATAAATACTGAATATTTTTTTTCAATTGCATTACTGTTATTCATTTTTATTTCTTCCCTGGATCATCGTCTCGTGTTAATTGATGGTGTTGACTGACTATGTGGTGTTCGTGAGTCAGCCCCTTTGTTCTATTATGTGTTCCTTTTTTTTTCGCTTTTTGTACATTAATGGACTAAATCCGTCGACATTTGGCTATTCGTTATAAACGGAGTTTAAGTTCTTTATGTGCTTCAAGCAGATTAGTTGCTAAGAGTTAATATAAAAAGGAGAAATGCCACATATTGCCATAAGTTAGTTGCATGCTAAATTTATTTTACCTTATAATATTTTGATGAATGATGTTGTTAAGTCCAAAATTTCTCATTAGTTTCTTGATGTAACTAATTGATGTGGAAGCAGAAATCATGCCGTGAAATTTCTGACATAGATATGTAGTTTGACTTTTTTACTTATACCAGCTTGTGTCTTGTTTTTCACTGGATGTGAGTCGATCATTGTGACTTAATCATAGGGTTGGTAGAAACTCGTTGCCTTCTAAGATATGGTCCATGCTTACCCTCCTACAAGAATCAGGCATTTACTGAGCCTCGGATTAATGGGTCCTAATAAGTTCTAGTCTGTGGCTGAGGATACTTCTGCTGCCTTGATTACACCAAAACATGCATCACTTTTGATGCATGAAGTGACAAATTACAAATAACGTGAATTCTCAGGGAGACATGGGAGGTTCTTGCAAATGCACGATTTTTGTCATCTAGTAGTGTTTTTACAAGTATTCTGAAAATATGATTATATTACTTTTCACATGAGCACTTGGACATAGGATAAATGTGCAGCATATGATTTGTAGGTATGTTTGATATGTTAATTGATAATATTTGGTTTAAGTTCTGCAAGTTCCTATACATAATTTTATTATTTTTTCTATGTTTTAAAGATAAATGTGTCACTCATTTGGTAATATTTATGTACAGCATCATTGTCGATGTTGTGGCAGGACACTCTGTCATGAACATTCATCAAACTACATGGTACTTGCCTCTAGTACCTATCTTGGTTTTAATGTAAATACACATAAGCCTGAGACCAATATGTGTTGCTAAGATACTACTTATCTTTTTAGGCTTTACCGCAATTTGGCATTTACTCTGACGTCAGAGTCTGCTCCGACTGTTTAAACAATTCCCCTCGGTAAATTTTTTGCCCCTTTTTTTTTCCTGTATCATTCTTAGTTTAACGAGGTTTGCCCCTATTATCTTTTTTCCCTTATAAATCCTATTAAATGCTTGCTTGTAATTTGCTGTGCATTACAAATGGTCTTCTTTAGACGAGCTGAAAATCTGTCATTTACTGAAGGTAGTTTAATGCTACGTGTTAAACATAGAACTTTGACAGCTTTCTTTTATCAGCTCACACAAAATTGATGAACGTTTACTAGCTTTTCATTTGTTTTGCCCCTAGGCTTCTATTTGGTCATCGCGATGGCAATGGTTGCTATTCTTGTTTTCACATTGAATTGATGAATCCTTATAACTTTTCCTTTATCCTTGCTCTTGGCTTAGAGTTTGGTATAGGACTATTGTTGGTCGACTCAAACTCACAAACAAGATGCCTCAATTTCAGAGAGATGACATTGACCTGATATTCTGCTTTAGGAGATATCAAATGACTTTTCTTTATAAACTAGATTTTCTTTTTATTTGTTATTCATACCAATCATGTGGGTTTTATACAAAATGATGCTTCCTAAATTCGTTCTTTAGGTCTCAAAAAGATGATACACAGGCTTTGGCAAATTCCTCTGATGTTGGAGCAGACTCAATTTCAAGATTGACACTGCATGAAAACACTGACTTAGTGGCTAAAGCAACTTCAGGTGAATCCATAGTAGGTGTTCCTGAGTGCAAGTGTGGGATGCCTTTGTGCATATGTGTAACTCCAACACCAGAACCAGCTCCCATGCAGGTAGATTCTTATTACAATTCGCTTGAGCCACTGCTATTTGCATCAACTTAGCTGCTTAATTGTAGATGCAGGGCACTACCATGTTAAACATACAGTCCAACCCAAAACCAAGGAAGACTAGTAGCAGCCAGCAACCGGCAGAATCCATTTCAAGGAAGCATGCTGCTACTTCATCCAGCAAGCCAAGGTCACCCATCATCTGTTTGTCCCAAGTTTTCCAGCATAAGCACTTAAAATTGAGTTCTGTAACATTTTTGTTAAAAACATTTACAGCTCATTTTTCAACCTTGGTCAAGCGAGCAACAATGCCGTAGATGAGGCTTGTGCAAATTATGATGTCAGCGGAGAGGTAAAGTGTAATAGGTTGTGTTTCTGTCTCATGGTTACATATCATTCAATTCTAGAAAATATAACTAAGGTGATACTTGTTTTTCTTCAGGGCTTAAGAGAAGCAATTAAGAACAGTGATTCTACAGCCGTCAGAGAACTTCTTAGTAAGGTATATATGTTCTTGATTTTCTTGCTCTGCACATCTTTGATACAAAGATGACGTTTTGTTTCTGGGACAGGGGGTGGATCCAAACTACTGTGACAAGCAAGGCTTGACATTGCTACATCTTGTATGTATTCCCTCTAATAAGATGAAAATGGTTCTTGCAGGTGTTTTCCTATATATTTGGCATGCGTAAATCGGTTGAAGCATCTTTTTTTGAGAGAATAAAAAACATCTACGAAAACCTTTTAAGTTAGCCAGTTCATTTATTAGATATTCTCCTGGTCTCTGTTTCTTCAGCAATCTCAGTTGTTTGGTTAGTGATTATTTAGAGTTTTCAAAATTCATCACACCTTGCAAAATTCAAGCTTTATGATCTTCTTAGGGATCATGGTTCGCAAGCCTTGGATTTCAAATATTGCCATCATTAAATAAAAGCACCATTTACTTGAATCAATCTACGTTGATTGATTTGAGTGTTTGCTTCTTGGAATAGAATGTATTTAGCTAATTATCCCACCATATTAAAAAGTAAAGCCCCACCATTTACGGATATGCATAAGAGTAGATTGGAAATTTTGTGCATCGGAGTCATCTACATGGTTCCTCACATCAAATACATTTTCCTGATGTCTTGGCATGCTTTTCGGTTGCTTGTTATGATGTTTTGGGTTTGCCATCGTTTGTTTTCTCTGTTGATGTAATATCCGGTAGTTTAATTGGTTGATCAATTGCAAGAACAAAGTTATATATGCAGAATCTCTCTCTCTCTCTCTCTCTCTCTCTCTCTCTGATAAAAACTTTCTTCCAACTGCAGGCTGCAGTTTTTAATCAGACTGAAATAGCTTTCATTCTCATGGATCATGGAGCAAGTACAGAATCTAAAAATGCTCAAGGTGATTGTTATTTCATCTACCGGTCATTTAGTAGGACAGTTCAGTTCCTTGGTAGTCTAATTTACAAATGCTTATCCTATGCTACGGTTCAAAGTTCATCCTGCAAAATGTCGAATTATCCTGTTTAAAATTCTTTTACATCGAACATCAATCATGTTAACGAACTATTTTTTTGATTCCATATAAAAGAAAAATAACAGAGAATCTCCCACATCCCTGTGCACATCTTGTTCAGATTGGAAAATATGATTAAATGTGTATCAGTTCAGCAGAAACCAAAAGAAAATCCATGATTCAGATTGGAAAGCACAGCTTGTTCTAACTACCATTGACAACAATTTTCGGAGTCCATGCAACAATGAGTGCATCCATGATTCATACCTTGATGCTACTAATAAGTAGTATTCTTTTGTCAGGTGAAACACCTTTGGATTGTGCGCCCACCATGTTGCAGTACAAGATGCGCAAGAAGGCAGAAGAACTCGCAGGCACTGCACAAGCAATTTAACTGTCTCAGTCTCCCCCAAGTCGAGAGGCGTCAAACACTCCCAGTTGTGGTGGTAGAAGAAGACTCTGGTTGCCTGAAGAAGAAGATGAGCTCTTTCTTATCGGGCTTAACCGAGCAATAACTCAACTATTTCGTTCTCCGTAGAGCCATTAAAATCTCCTGTCATTTTTCATGTCGCGTGCTATGCTATCTTCCATCTTCGATGCGATACTTAATACTCGAATGTTAGTGTTTCCTCGTCCGCGGTGATCCAAACAGTGGCGCGTGGTGCACTGTGGAAGCTACGACTCGGCTGTGCTCAGGTTTGATTTGCTCTATCTATCAAATAATTAATTCATATTTGGGTATTTTCTTTTGATATACATATATGGATTTTTTGTGCATATTATCAGCATTTTTGGGGGGTATATTACACGTTGTTCGAAGTAAACACGAAATTAGTATTTTATTGCAGAGATCACAAAGTGGGCGAGCAGTATGGATTGTGACTCGAAGCTCTTACAGCTCTTCTTCGTGTCTCTCAGCCCCGCCGCCCATGACGTACTCCTTGGCCGCCTCGACCTTCTCCTTTGCCGCGTCCACCGTTTCCTTCGCCTTCTCTTTGGCCTTCTCCGTCGCGCCCGTGGCAGACTCCCTCGCCTTGGCCGCCGCCTCTTCCGCTGTCTTCACCGCCTCCTCTTTCGCCTCGGCCCCCTTCTCTTTGGCCTCGGCCGCTGCCTCTTTTGCTGTCTTCCCCGCCGCTTCCTTTGCCTTCGCTGCCTTCTCCGCGGCAGCCTCTTTTGCTTTGCCCATCTTCTCCGCCGCCTCGCTTCCGATCTCTGTACAACCCCATGTCCACACCTCGAGCACAAGACCACCAAAGCCAACAAAACGTTAAGCGGGTTATGGAGACAGATCAAGCTAACCTGAGGCGATCTCCTGCAGCTTTTCTGTGCTCGTCTCAGCTGCTTCCTTGGCCTTCCCTGCCTTGTCTGCAACGAAGATCAAGCCATTAAATCCAGAACATCTTCTCAACGGCGTCCAAAGCCTACTCGGACTTACCATGAATCATCTCTTGGCCTCGTTCCCGACCTGTCGTCGCAGCCTCTTCGACCTTCCTCGTTGCGTCCTCCGCCTCCTCGTCTTCCTGGTTCTTCTTGAGACCAAAACCACCGGATATCTTATCCTTAGCCCAGGCAGTCCACGACTCCGACGGCTCCCCCCCTTCCCTTCCCTTCTCCTCTGCTTCATGTTCCGTTGTTGCTGATGCTGCTACAAGAAGCACAGAGAGCAGCAGAAGCAGCATCAGGACGCTGCGAGAAAGCTTACTGCTCGTGTCCACGGCCATGGCTGCGGTGGTTTGGTATCTCTCGGCGCTTCGATTCTGGAAGCTCGGCATTGGTGACGAGTTCGCCAGGGGAATTTAAGCGAATGGAGTGCATGGTATGGAGAGGTCTTCTCCGCGCCGCGTGTCGCCCGTGTCCGAACTCGGTGCCACGTGCATTTGGTCGAACACGTTCACCGTTCGAGACGTCCCTGCTCGGCCTTTGTCGAGGAGGAAGATGTGAAGGAATAAAAAGGTAAATAATAATAATAATAATAATAATAATAATAATAATAATAATAATAATAATAATAATAATAATAAGAGATCTAATTACATATTATTTTAGATTTTCTTAACATCTCAATTGTTAAAATCAAAAAATTTATATTAGAATCTGAAACATCTAACTCGATTTATTCTAACGTCGTTCATTTTATCGACGGAGTATATTTTATGTACATAAATAATACGAAAATGATAGATAAAAGAATAATCTAAATATTCGAATTATGTTTTCGATGTTGGTGGATGATGTCGCTATCGAGGGCCGTGAGTGATTATTATGAGTGAGGAGAGAGAGCGACAACGAGAGGTGAGACAAAAAGAGAGGAGAAAGTCGACGACGCAAATGTCGATGTTATGCATTTGCATTGACGTCGCTCGGTAATTCTATTGATGTCGACACAGATGTAGAGTAGCAAATAGGCTGCTCGACATCTACATTGATGTCGATGCAGATACAGATGCAGAGCGGCACCACTTTGCATTTGCGTCGATGCTAATAATGATGTGGGGAAGGGTAACATTGCGCTGCATTAACAGTGAAAGGATTGCTCGACATTTACATCGACATTGATAGATGTAGAGCATTACTCGACATCTATGTTGATGCTATAACGATGCAGGGAATAGTGGTGTTGCTCTGCTTGATATTGACGAAAATACAAATATAGAGCGATGTCGTTTTGCATCTACGTCGACCCTAGTAATGATGTGAGAAAGAACATCTATGTCGACGCTAATTCAGTTGTTGAGCAGCATCGACACAAATGCAAAGTGTTAACGTCTGCATCATCCTCTTCCTTCTTCCTCCCTTTCACCACCACTCTCCTTCCTCATCATTTTCATCCCCCCCCACAAGAAGATGCAAATGTCCATAACTTTCTTATTTAACCATTGCATCATTCTCGTCGATCATAATCATAATAGTCACTCATGGCCCCTAGTTGTATCGTTGTCCGTCATCGTCGAAAATGTAATTAAGATGTTAAAATTATTTTTTTGTTCATTATTTTTTTACTAAAAGATGGTGTTAGGGTATACGAAGTAAAATATTTCACTTTCATAATTATAAAAATTATAATATACATTTTATAAGTATAAAGATTAAAATACTAAAGATAGTTAGACAATTTCTAATTATCCAAAAGAAGACTACTCGTGGTTGAGCTTATCCTTGGTCTAAGGAACACCATTTCTTGGTTTAAATCAGTCAAATTTGGTTCTCGTAACTTCACTATGGTGACCGGAATCCAGTGAATCGAGTGGAGTACCTGCACTCTCGGTGACCTTACCTCACAACCCTTACATGGCAAAGTGGCTCAAAAAAAAATAAATTCTGGTCGAATCTGTTAAATTTCCTTTTCGTACAGTCACCGGAAGTGACGCTAACCTAACGGGGGTACGCAAAACTCGTGGTGGACTTACCGCACAACCCTCAGGCGACAAAGTGCCTTCAAAAGATTTTTCTTTCGGTTGTTAAACTGCGTGTTCGTACCATCATCGGCGGTGACCCTAACCAAGCCAACAAGCGGAGTACGTAGCCCCACGGTGAAGTTACTGCGCAGTACTTCGACGACAAAGTGGCTCGAAAAAAAAAAATTCTTTGTCAAATCAGCCAAATTCCAGTTTCGTACTGTCACCGGTGGTGACCCTAACCTGGTTAAAAGCGCGTTTCGTAGACTTGCCGTATTCTTACCGCACGGCACTCGGACAACAAAGTGGCTTCTAAAATTTCTTTTATATTGTCAGAGGACATCAGCTTGATTCATCCGAAGAGAACGAAGAACGAATCTGAGAACAACAATTCAATTCAATTCCATTCCATTCCATCCTATTTGGCTTTTTCCAAACCAAAAAAAAAAAACACGTATGTTTGATCCAACAACGTCGTGATCACATCATCGCTTCAAGCAAAAGAACAAATCAAGTTTTCTTGGTAATTGAAGTCAACAAACTGAGACTTGAAACAGCAACATCACAACTCAAGGGAACAAACAGGAGAGTATAGATAATGTAATAGAATTATAATCCACATCCTTATTCTCACTGCAACTTGTAATAAACAACTCTCAGCAATTTCAAGTTACATCATAATTTGTAAAAGGAATACTTATATCTGCACAAAATAGCTTCGAGCATCATTGAACAGTCGATCGGATGCCGTCGTAGACTTCTTTATTTTCTTTTTGTTGCTGTAAAAGAAAAGCAAATTGTATGAATCAACGAACAGCTTTAATCTTGGGAAAGAATTCACAATTTCTTGCTTGAGAAACATGCAAAGTCATATTTTATCAAAGAAAAAAGAAGAGAATTTTTACTGTGGAATAACTTAAATTCTTAAGGAATGCCAATAATGTATCTTTCTTAAACATTAAAAAAAAAAAGTAGAAACAAAGTAACACGCGATACAAATAACTCGTGTCATACATTTTTTGTGGAATATGCCAATGTATTAATCAATGCAAAAGGATTTTTAGTTTTCATTGATAAAAACAAATCAGAAGGAAACTTTTTTTCTCTCCAAAAGATTTACATAATGGTGTAGAGGGAAGGAGTAGCTACTTATACCATTTTGTTAGAATAAGCTTAGCACCCTTTAACCAAATAAACATACCGTCTCACAAAATAAGCTTGTTTGCTGAGCTATTATGGGACAAGTCTCTATTCCCTACTTGGTTTCCAGTGCATTAAAATGACTACAAAATTAGATGCTCGCATCTTAACGTCAATACTGCAGTAATAAACTTACAGTGGAGTGAACCCCGATAAATAAAGCCATCCAAGTAATCCTTACTGGGGAGAATGTCCTTTATGCTGCAACTGCCAAAGGCCTTTTGCTAGTCTTTATGCCTCTTATTGCTGCAAAACCAAAAGTCACTGTTCAAATAACCCTGAGGGCACATCATTAATTAAACTTCAAAGAACTATAGTTTTTCGTTGTTCCTTCATGTTTTACGTAAACCAGTTTAATTAGGAGTATAAAGATTTAAGTTACTGAATGAAAAAGTAAGGTCCATGCCTTCTGCATAATCTTTGGCACCAAAGACTGCAGAACCTGCAACTATAGCATTAGCGCCAGCTTCAATAACCTGCGATGCACAAAGAACAAATAAGTTACCTGATTTACCTTGAAAACTCAAAAATGCTTGCTAAGACAAGGTTAGTTGGTGGTGTCAGTGAACATGATGCAGCAGAAAATAACAGCACCAATGACCATTCATAAAATTTCCTGGCTGTTGTACGACAAACTCCTAAATGATCAAGCTTACGTGCCATCCTTTGAACAAACTTCTCATATCTACTCCCTCATGGCAAAGGCATACACGATGGACAAAACAATCATCAGGGCAGAAAACCTATAAACTGCATTCCACTGCATATTGTGCCACCACCCAAGTAGCCTGGTGATTGAGCCACTCGGGAAGCTTTCCTATGCTTGGGGTTTTGAATCCTCTGTTATGCATGATGCAGTCGTTTGAACCTAGTGCATCTGAATATCTTACACATTCCTCTGCCTATCATGTGGATAGGGTGATTCATTCAACTGCCTATCATTACCACCCTGGACTGAGATAATGTTAAATATATCAATTGAGAAAAGACCATACATGTGGAAGTTGAAACAATTAATTGATATGACTCAAGAAAGGCACCTTATATGCATTTGAAGGACCAACACCACCATCCACTTCAATCCATGGATTCACACCCTGCATCCCAGGAAGAAATTATGAATTGCATAGCCTCTTTGTACTCAAAAAAATTGAAAAAAAAAAAAATGTTGTTCGTATGTACCTTTTCAGCGCATAACCTCCTCAAATCTGAAATTTTCTTCACCTGACTTTCAATAAAACTCTGGCCACCAAACCCAGGATTGACTGACATAATTAAGACAAGATCCACCACTGCCCATGCAAAAAAGTGAAAAATCTGCTCAGTAATTATAAAGCTGATACATGATGTGTCATCTTAAAAGCAATGATTTCACATTAACGCTAGATAAAAAGAGAAATAAAAAATATGAAAGACCCATATGGAGAATCACAAACTTTGTGGGCCGGCTCCTAGAATCTTACATAAATATTGTACCATGTTTCTAGGCTCATCTGCTATTAGCTCATTATTACGTCCTGGATCATTATAGCTAAAGTTCTCATTCCAAATATGAGTGGCCATGGTGAAGCATGTAAACTCTTGTAAGAACATCAATGATTTCCTTATACCATATTTCTTGACTTCAAAAGTACAGAGAGGTAAGACCATAGCAGAATGATATTTTGACAATTAGGCTGAAAAGGATGCCAATTATTTATTCTGCAATTTGAATTCAGTGCTACATTCCCAAATTAAATCAAAGAGAAGCTGCAATCCCTTCACAGTTTTAAAGAACATTTGCTCCCGAACTTTGCCCCACAAGTTTTGCATTACCTGATCAGATTTCTTTATCAAATATGAACAATGATTGGAATAGAAATCTTACCATCTAGCACATACTCTATGGCACTTAATGGGGTTGCAGGGTTTAAAACAACTCCAGCTTTTGCTCCCAGACTCTTTACCTGAAATCAAGGGAAGTACATGATTGTCTCTTGTAAAACTAACACCCATTTTCAAAGACTTAAGATACAATACATATTTATAACCAGGAGAGATGTGTAATGACATCTGGGAACAAACTTCAAAGTCCAAACTTCAGAGTATCAACTTTTACAGAAGAATAAAACATAAATTTCTTCAAAAGTTGCAAGTAAAAGTTCTGTTATTTTCCATTTATGGACTATCCTATTTGTTTGAAAATGCATTTTCTAAATTTAGTCACCAAGAAGTGAAACAAAAGTTTCCAATCAAAGCAATGTCTTTTTCATGGAAAGATCTTTGAGAAAATTTGCTGCAAAATTTGAGGTTCGGAAATTATCATCATCTCATGATATGAGCAAGATGTTTGTTAATATAATCAATTCTATGAGATGATGATTCAATACACAAGGCATGGAAAGCATAACTAATTTCACCAAACTATGTATGTAATGGCAATTCAAACTGCAGGAAATTTGACCTGTAATAATTTCACCAAACTAAGTCAATTCAAATCACAACTGCATTAAGTGTATTTTGCCTAAAAGATGCATAGCATCAAGATGGCAAAACAAATGGTTTATTGAAAGAAAGCTCAACTAATTGTTTTATCTATTTAGGAATAGATAACATCAAAAGCATAATTACATAGATGCCGGAACAAACCTCAAAATATGAGGGACAAAATCAGTCATATTATTAACCAACATAAACAGTCTCATGAAATAACCCTTAAATTCACTAAATGGCAAAGTTTGAGAGTACATAAATTCTCATCTGCAATCAGATGAAGAAGTTTGCACATTTTAAGTATTATAGACACATGCCACACAAAATAATATCATTTTAATTGAGACATAAACTTGATTGTAAAAATTACCTGATCAATTGTCCGATGCAAGTGAATGGTAGACGACTGTTCGCAATGAACACTGACAATGTCTGCACCTGCCTTGATAAAATCTGGAACCCGCTGCTCAGGTTCTACGATCATCTAGAATTTGGATTCCCGAAAAGAAAATTGTCAATATGACTTGACGCCAATAAATTTGCAATTATTGAAGGAATCAGAATTATATAAACTAAAAAACATGAGTACAAGCTTGTAACTTAAAGAACCAGCTAGGAATCATACCAAATGCACATCCAATGGAAGATCAGTCACGGGGCGCAAGGCATCAACAACTAAAGGTCCTATTGTGATATTTGGCACAAAGCGTCCATCCATTACATCAACATGAATCCAGTCACACCCTGCCACGTCGACAGCTTTAACCTGTACATGTGACATTAATGATTAATTTCATCAATGACAAGCTCTAAATCACCTGTTTTCTTCAAATTTTGCTTGACACTTTCAGGTTCTAATAAAAAAAAGGTCTTGAGACATTAGTGAGCTGAAACTGAATATCAGAAAAAACATAAACAGGACAGACCTATCTTCATCCTCCTCTTATATAAACTGTCAAGTAATGGATCCCAAATACAAATATTTCTCAAGAGTACCCTAACATATGTCACCTCTAAATAATGTCAAGAAGAAACAAAATACAATGTATAATGATCATAAATCTCCTATATCAATTTTGCATAACATGAACTCCGACAGTGAAAAGGTCACACTAAGATGAATAATAAGGTGTATAGAATATGTCAAAGGAAAGTTTCTTTTACAAGGCATAGGTTAACTATAATGTTTCTAAGGAACATAAGAGCCAAGATTGAGCTAAACCCTTCAAGCAGAGGTATCTGAACCTGATAAAAGCTAAATCATTCAACAAACACAATAGATGGAACACTTTGAATGACAATGAAAAGATTTCGTTAATCTAATTCAATAACGAAAATGAATGTCATTACTTCTTAAGGCAGATTATTTCCTTAATGAGAGTCTGCAAACAAAATCTTTAAGAGCAGCAATTGCTGAACACATACAACGCAGCAAAAGTATGAACCAAAGAAAAGACTCGAGTATTAACCATTTCATATTCTCATATCTGAGTTGGAAGCGAACCTGCTCGCCTAACTTGGAAAAGTTAGCGGAGAGAATGGATGGTGAAACAATTATGTCACTCTTAGAGTATTTATCGACGCGAGCTGATGCCTTCACCACACTTGGGAAATTCCTTCTGAAAGTTTGCATAATACAACATTAAAAGAGTAGCATCAAGGTAGCTGGCTACCAGAGAGTATCAAACGTCATCATGGAACACTATTATACGGTTCCAGGAGTATATACTGTAGTGGAAGCAAGACATAAACACATTACAGAAGTAGTGAGATGGAACTCGGACATCTAACATCTGACAACCATCGGAAAAGCAGAAGTATGTCATATTAAAGGGCAGGTAAACAATGGCCAATTAGAATTTTGTCCGGAATGGGAATCAACAATTGGAACCTCTCCGAGAGGGGGATTCACAAGAATCGGACAAATAGCCACGTCGATTTCAAAGACCGTTTTCGAAACACAAATTGCAAGAAAACAAAAAGACTGTATTCAAGCCAAGATCCGTTTTTGAGAATTCCCAGCATCCATGGCAGGAAATAAACTATCTATAGTCAAAATAAATCGATCGAGAGAGAGAGAGAGACAGAGGTGGTGGGTTGAAACGTGACGGAGATGCACAAACTGCGTAGTCAAAGTGATTGTACCCAATTTCAGATCTGTCTATCGGGGTTGAGAAGAGAGAGAGAGAGAGAGAGAGAGAGAGAGAGAGAGAGAGAGAGAGAGAGAGAGAGTAACCTGACGGCGATATTGGTGCGAGACAGGAGGAGGGAGGATTTCCGAAGTCGACCGCTGTGGGGGACGGCAATCGCCAGCGACGACGAAGAGGCGGCGGTCGCTGAGGCGATCATGTCTTCTTCTGCCCTTCACCTAATCGGTAAGGCTACCAACCAAACAGAGGCTGCGGACGAAGCTATAAATATATTTATTATATACATTTGTGAGACGGGAGAGGGAGATGGAGATGGCAGTCGAAGAGGGTCGTAAAAATCTCAGCCTCAGCCTCGCGTCGTGTGCTATCCGCTTGCTTTGGGGTTGGAATTAAATGAACCACAAAGCCAGCCAAAAGGCGGGGGGGGGGGGGGGGGGGGGGGGGGGGGGGAAAAACCCCCCCCTTTT